CTTCCCCACCCCACTGCCCTCCAGCCCACTCAACGCCTCCTTCTCGCCTGCCTCCGCAGAAGGGTGCCATTTGGTGTCTAAATAGCCGTCTCAGGCAGGCGAGGAGGCAGGTAAGGAGGTTTAATTAAAATTAGTGCCTCTCTCCTGGCAATCACGGTGTTTATGAAGATGGGCCCGGCTGGCATTGTTCTGCAGAGGACTTAATCGAAGCTTAATGGATTGACCTAACATTCGATTTCCTGACTTGCATTGAGGCGGCGGCAGCAGCATTCCCTTAAGCGTTTGCAATTTACCCACTGCTCCCTCGCCAACAAAAGGCGGCCTGAATAGCAGCCCCACTCGAGGGGCCATTGTGCGCGGGGGCGCCTGCCTGAGTCACCGCTATTGGGACAACATTCTTTATGCCTCAGTGGAATGAAAAGATTATTCAAATATTCAATTAAACCGTGAAAAGGGGGCTTTTCTGAGAACCTGGGGGCCCCCAGCTCCACAGAGCTAGCGGGCTTGCTCTCTGAGGCGGGGGTGCCATCTCCCAGCCCCTTCCCACCTCCCACCTCCAGGATTGCTGGGAGCTGAGCAGGCTTTTCTAGAAGGTGCCAATCTCCAACCTGTGGTGGCTCAGGGCCCCAGAGCTGGGCACACAGAATGGGTCCAGTTCTTGGGTTACCTGTGAGGAGGCAGCGATTAATTTACTTCCATTTTGCAGATCACGGGAAACTGAGGCTCTGAGAGGGGAAGAAACTTGCCCAAGTTCACCCAGCTGGTGGTGAGCTGAGATTTGAACCCCTGATGCATTAAGGGGGCATCTCAGGTTTGTGTAGCCCTGCTCTGTGATTGATGGAAGAAGGGCGTGGTGTTCGGTGGGATGTTGGCTGTCACGTCCGTTACCCCACAGTCTTCACACAGTCCCTTTAGATGGGGGCACAGGGAGGCATGGCATCCTTCAAGGTGAAGACAAAGTTGAGCCTGGAGTCCAGAGTAGCTTCTCTGAGGAAACCTAGGACCGCGGGGTAGGTAGGCCCTTGAATGTGTCTCCTGGACTGGATGAAACCCAACGTTATCATGTCCAAGCTTGACCCCACTCCTGCTTGCCGACAGGGCTTTGGAGCCAGAGACGTGGGTTTGAATCCGGACTCTGGCAGCTATCGTGTGTTCCAGGCACACCTCACTGTTTCTTTTTTTTTTTTTTAAAGATTTTTATTGGGGAATTGGGGGGATGGGAACAGTGCTGGGGAACTGGGGGAAGGGGAACAGACAAGTTGCTGTCATTTTTGTTCTTCAATCTAGTTGTGGAGGATGTTGCTTCACTGGCCCAAGTTGGCACCGTCATTGCGCTCTTCCCTGGTGAGGCAGATCAGGCGCCGGCTTCTGGACGGCCGCTCACTGCGGCTGCTGGCCGCTCACGCTGGCTGCTGGCTACACACGGTAGCCCATGGCAACCCACTGCCACAGGGGCTGCAGCCTACGCCGTCGCCAGCGACTCACGGCAGCCCAGCTCCAGGTTGAGCTGTTGTTCAGCATCTTAGCTGTGGAGGGCAGTGTCACTGGCCCTCATATGTGGGATCCGAACCGGGGCCCTCTGGCATCCCAAGCGAGTTCTTAACCATCGCGCCACTCAGCCGGCCCCCACACCTCACTGTTTCTGCACCAGAGGGGTGCCCTTTCCTGCTTGAGTGGGTGTCTGCGGGGATTAACTGAGCTGGGAGCAAGGTGCCTGGCTGGGGCCCAGGAAACTGGGTCCATTTATACTGTAGTTGTTGGGGCTTAATTAGCGACTGTGCTTCCCTCCCTAGCCCTGTAGCCCACCTCAAAGGGGACAGTGGGGGACCTCTAGTCTGTAGAGAGCTGCGGAACCCATAGAACTGCTAGAAGGGGGGCTGTCCCTGAAAGCTGTCCCTGTTCTGCACCCACCTCCTGCACTCCGCCCTACTGTCCCTGGTCGTGTGCTGAGAACAGTAAATCCAGGTAAAGCCCAGGCTCCGGGCCTCCGGGCTCCTCCCACTCCTGCCTCTACTGCAGCATCCTAGTCAGTCATCCCCCCTGCCCCCAGATGTTCCCGCTGGCCCCCTTTACTGCTGTGTGGCTTTGACCTAGTCCCTACCCTTCTCTGGACCCCTAGCCTCCTATTGTGAATTGTCAGAAAACAATGTTAGGAGACTTGCCCAGCTCCAAGGATGGTAGCGGGTAGAGGGGACAGTATCCAGATGGAAAGAGGGTGGGATAGGGATGGAGCTAGGTTGGAGGGGGGACTTCCTATGACCTTTGAGTGAGTCTGGAGCAAGTCAGGCTAAGGAGCAGGGCTGCCATGTGTAGTTGGTCAGGTTGTTCACTGCACAAGGGCACCTAGGCAGGGGATGAGAAGGGGCTGAAATCCAGCTTGTATGCCCCTCACCGAGCTGTGCCTCTGTGGACAAGGGGACACTTCTTTCTAATTGACACAAAGGTGCCTCATGGGCTAGTGGTGATCCTGAGGAGGTGAGGAAGAAAATGACCCCAGCTCACTTATTAAAGGAAAGGGAGGGGGCTGGGAGTGGGAGTGGAGGATGGGGGCCAGATCCTGCTATAGGCCGCAGGCCCAGCTCCGGTTTCCCTAAATCCGACTTTGGACAACACAGGCCTCAGCGCGCGGGCTGGGGGCGGCTGGGGATCAGGGTTGCCAGGAGCATGAAGCGCTCCTGGCGCAGTGGGTGTTAAGAGGGATTAGAAGGGCCAAGGGCTGCACACTGCTGGGCTCCCGACTCCCCCGCAGCAGTAGGTTTGGGGGTGGGAGGGGCTGGGCCGGAAGTGGATGGACGGCCATTTTCTGAGCCGCTGGATGCCACGTTCCAGGCAAGGCCGGGCTAGGATTTTGGGGAAAAGGACTGATTCTGTAGGTTTCTGCAGACCCTCAGCCTGCAGGCAGGGTACCAGCTGGAGATGCTGCCCTGGAGCTGAAAGAGGCCTGCAAGCTGTGATGAGGATTTGTGTGACAAGAAACTGACACTCTCTGGGCACCCCTGGGAGCCAGGCACCTGTATAGGACCCTGCACCCAGCTCTCACCCTGCAAAGTGGGCATGGCCCCTTTCATAGAGGAAGAAGGCCTTTCAGGTTAGGAGGGGGCAGGGCACAGGCCACTGCTCCTAAATGGTGGGGCTGGGATTTGAACCCCCATCCGCCTCACCCCTAAGACATTTTATTTTTTGTCTCTTCACTGGACCTTGGGTGTCCGGGGATGCATTGATCACACTCTTTCATCCACGGCACGAAGGCCCATTGGTCACGTGAAGCCAACCGCCTTCCTCTCCCTCCCACAAGCAACCATTTTCATCATGTGTAACTCGGATCTTTTGTTTGTCCCTGTCCTTACTTAATGTGCCTGCTTTGTGTACTAGCATTTTAATTTATGGAGAGATCTTTGTTTTCTAGACCTCATTCTGGATCTATCTGTTTTGCTTTTTTCCAGTCAGCCCCATGTTTTTAAAGATTCATTCATCGCTCTGTGTTATGTCTGCTCTGTTACTTCTGTTGACTGTACAGGACTCCCTGGCGGTGCAGCCACCACATGGCCATCCAGGCACCTCCCCATCATCATAACTACGGCTGCAGTGAACATCCTTGGGCCCCCATGGCCCCATGGGAGAATCTCCTTGTGGTACTGGAGCCTCTTGATTGGTCAGAGGGTAGACCCAAGGAGTGCCTGTCGCTCTTTAGAATGGAGCCACCAGTACACATGCTTCACAGTTGTGAGATGGGACTCTTCCACTCACAGTGCACCTCTCTGGTGACGAGGACAGTGATGATTGTGGCAGGGTGGTGACATTGATGGTGACCACCATGAGGACGGGATGGTTTTGACCATGGGGATGGGGATGGTGTTGGTCATGGCCGTGGTGAAAGGAGTCATAATGGTAACAACTGGCATATCGGGCCTTATCGCTGTTGTGCCAGACGCTGTTCCTGAGCACTGTCCACGTGTCAACTCCCTGAATTCTCCCGGCAATCTTGTGAAGTAGGTACTATTGTCACCCCCATTTTACAGATGAGGAAATTGAGAGGTTAAATAACATGCCCAGGGATACACCTGGTAAGGTTGATGATGGGCTTGGTGATGATGGAGGTGTTCGTCGTGATCACTGCGATGACGACAACGGCAGTAATGATGGTGACAGGTGATTGTGGCTGCGTGGTTGATGGTGACAATGGCTGTGTTGGTGATAACCACAGGGATGTTGGTGTTGGTGACTGCTGATGATGGTGGTGTTCAGTTATGGTGATGATGGTGATGGTGATAATGACGGGGACAGGAATGATTCAGGTTTGGTTGATGATGGCAGCAGTGGTCATGTTTGGGGACAACATAAGGATGCAGTATTAGTGATCGATGATGGTGGCAGTGTTCATCAGCCATAGTGGTGCCAATGGTGATGGTGATGGGGAGATGGTGGTTGCATCACTGACGGTGGCAGTGCCCATGTCTTTGGTGATCATAGGGATGTTGGTGTTGGTGATGCCAGTGACTGTTGATGATCTGATGGGCTGGTGATGGTGACGGAGCTCCTCCCTTTGCAGACGTGAAGTTCCTGAATAACCACAGCCTGGTGAAGGACGCTCAGGAGAAGGCCAATGCCGCCCTGCTTGACTACACCCTGTGCCACTACCCGCATTGCGGGGACAAGTTCCAGCAGCTGCTGCTGTGCCTGGTGGAGGTGAGGGCACTGAGCATGCAGGCCAAGGAATACCTGTACCACAAGCATCTGGGCAACGAGATGCCCCGCAACAACCTACTCATCGAGATGCTGCAAGCCAAGCAGACTTGAGCCTGGGCTGGGTGGGACTGGGGCCTGGGCCAGGGGAGGGGTCGCAGCCACCCCGGCGGCCCTCCAGATGGTTTATTTTATTATGCCGACCCAGGAGCCCCACCTTGTAGGCCTCTGCCCCTGAGTTCTCTGAAGCCCTGCGTTTGGGAAGTGGGTGAGGGCGGGCAAGGCCTGGCTGAGGTGGGGTGGCCCCCTTAGCCATTGGCACTTGCCTGCTACTCAGAGTGCTCCAAGGAGGTGGCTGCTAGCTACCGCTCCCCCTCCTCCTGCTCCCAGCTCCCAGCTCCTAGCTGTCTGTCCTGGAGCCTGGAGCACAGGTCCAGGGAGAAGGTTCGGGAATCCCTGGTGGGCCTCAGTGTCCCTTGAGTCAGAGGCCATCCCTCCTCCCTCTCCTGGAAACAGAAGCAGAAAGAAGTTGAGTGGGCATCATCTGGTTCTGGAGACCCCCTCAGAGGGACCAGGAGGGAAGCCCTCTGTTTTGTAAACTAGGGATATCTGAGTTTGCAAAATTGGACTGGGACAGTTAGGCCCTGGAGGACATTGGGAGACTGGTTAGGATAAAAAGACCTCCTCCTTAGCCCTCTACCCCATTTGACTTCTGCAGGGGAGAACTTTGACACGTTATCTGAAAAGAATTTTGCTACAATCATCTTTCTATCCCTCTCCCACCAGAGGAGAAGTTTGGCACAATCAACATTCTAGCCCTACCCGCAGTTGCCCAGCCCAGGCTGGTATTTGTCTGCAAGGCTGTAGTCAAGAGGTTATTTGTTTTGTTTGTTTTTTAATCTAGATACTCCTTGAAAGGTGTGTATGTGGGGGGTGGGGAACAGATTTGGGGATGGAGGCTGGGGTTTGGGGATTAGCACCAAGTACAGCCCATGGTTTCTCCCCAAACACCCGCATACCACGTACATCACTGGTGGAGCTGGGTCATTCATTATTTCTGAGCCCTATTCCAATCCAGAGAAAAGCTGTTGCTTGCCCCCCACCCCCTGCCCCTGCCCCACGCAATGAACAGCAAGATGCCTTGTGGGGAGCTCAGAGTTTCTGTGGGTGGGAATATGGGTGACCTAGGGGAGGGTGTATGGGTCTGCAGATCAGGGACATTGCCGATAAGCCCCTTCCCCATTGGGTCCCTTGCTGCAAACCCCTGAAGCTGGGCCTCAACTCCCTGGCCTCCTGCCTTTGTCCTAAAAGCCACTCTCCAGGGCCAGGCACTAGGGAGAGGCTTCAGCTATTCTCTGTCCCCGGGCTGGGCACCCACTGCCTGTCCTGCTTCATGTTGCCATTGCAGCTTGCGCTGAGCCTGCCCAGTTGGAGGTGACTGGGCATCCCTGCCTCCCTGTCTCAATCCCTACCCCTGCCCGCGGAAGTGTGTGTCCCCGCCAAGGCCGGAGACCCACAGCCCCAAACAAGAAGTGCCCTTAAGAATCTCCCAGCCCCTGCAGCTCTGGAATAAATTTTGCAATTAGTTTCCAGCTACCTTTGGCTGTTTACATTCTGGGGCCAAAGCAGAACCTTTTACATGGGTTTGGGTGGGCTAGGGTGGTGCAGTGCTCCGACGAGATGGAGGTGACACTCAGGTAACCTTTGTTTCAAAACTCTGGGGAAGCAGGATGAGGTGTGTGGGGGGCACCAGGCACTGTTGTGAGGCCTTTGGGCACCATCTTATCCCTGGGACCCTGCCATACCCAAGAGGCCTTGGAGATGCTTGTGCCTTCTGGGGCCTCAGTCTCAGTGCCACCCTGGTGGTGCAGCTCAGTCGCCATCTTGGGTAGAAGGGAGCAATTGTTTAGTGAGCACCTGCTGTGTGCCATCCCTTATCTCACTGTTCCTACAGAGACCCAGTGAGGCAGGAGTTATAATCCAGGAGAGGCACTTGGCAAGTGCCCCTCAGTCAATGATCTGCAGGAACAGATTCCAACCTGGGTCCACGTGACTTGAGAGCACTGGCCTTGTCCCCTCTGCCCTTGTGGTAGCCAGCCACAGGCCCCTGGCCCCGCCCTCTGGCGGATTCCCTTGCCTCCCCTCCCCCACCACATGGTGGCAGCAGTGAGAACAGCCAACAGCGGAGGAGGCTTCCTCTGCTCCAGGTACCTCCCCAGGGCTTCGCCTGCCACGTCAACCTCGTTTCATGTGTTCTTTGCAGCCCGTTACGATTTGAGAAAAGAGGTATAGAGGGGTGAAGTGGCCTGTCCAAAGTCACACACTGAGAAGGGGCAGGGCCATCGCCCTCCATCGCCCTGACCCACCTTGACCAACCTTGTTTATCCCCAGGGCCACTCCTGACCCACCTTAATGTGCAAATTAGAAAAAGGCGCCCCCTCTTGGCCCAGGTAGCCCTAGGCATATGGCTTGGTAGTGGCTTTTTTACAAAGGAAGAAGCATCGCTTCCCCTGTTGGCGCCTTACGAAGTGAAGCAGATGCCCTGGTCCCTGCCTCTGGGTGATGTCCAGTTCTGTAGGAGGACACTGTCTTAATCAGATCATAGTCCAATGTGACACATCATGTAACCGAGCCAGATAAGGTGAGGAGTGACTGATTCTGCTCCTGCGGGACAGGCAGTCTTTATAGAAGTGTCATCCACCTGGGTTTTGAAGGATTCCCAGGAGTTGACCAGTTAGACAGCTGTTGGGAGTCCAGGCAGAGGGAAGGTGTGAGCAAAGGGATGGAGGGGTGTCAGCCAGTGATGTCTGGGAACCCAAGAGAAGTTATTTGGGTTGGAGAGTAAAGAGAGTGTGTTTGGGGAGGAAGGGTATGGAGCAGGTGGAGGGGAGACTGGCGGGGAGTCCTGGTCCCCACCCCTCGGCCCCTCCTCCCACCAGTCCTTATTAGTTTGAGGGGGAGCAGGAGCTCTCCGGAGATGAGGGGAAGGAGACAGAGGACACTGCAAATGGAGGCAGGAGAGACCACCAAGTGCCCCTCCCCGTTCAGCTCGACCTGATCTCCACATTCTGCAGATGATAGACTGGGCTTCAAGAGGTTCAACAGCCTCCCAGCCCCAGAACAAAATACCCAGTCTTCTGCCCTTGTGTGGTCAGCCCCCCACCCCCAGATGTAACCCAAGCAGGACCCAGGGTGGAAGCACCTTCTAAGGTCGCGGAGGGAACGGGGGGGGGGGGTGCAGCTTGTACCTTGCTGGGTCTTAGGCCCTGCCCCACCTCCACCCACCCATGTCTGCCTCCTGCAGGGAGGCTGCTACCTGCCTCCTGCAGGGAGGCTGCTACCTGCCTCCTGCAGGGAGGCTGCTCTGACGCTCCTCAGCTGTGTCCCAGCCTCTGGCCCCAGCAGCATTTGAGCCAGGCTGAGGTCAGCAGGACAGCCTCTGTGCTCCGTCCGAGTCCCAGCCCCTGGGTCCCTGTTCACCTGGCCCTTTGCCTTGGGGCCTGCCCTGGTGCAGAGCCCTACCACATCATCACTGTTCCTCACCTCGGCCCTGACAATGTTCTGCCTAAGAAGAGACCGAGACTCAGAGAAGAATGCTGCCTGTGGCCCCAGAACGGGTAATGGCAGGACCTGGCCGCACAGCCAGACTTGGAGTTGGGCCCTTTCCTCAGCATGGCTCTCATCAGACCTGGAGCCAATCGCGCCTGCCCTGATGCCTCCTCTGAGCAGCCTGCCTGGGCGGCTCCCGCTCACACTGACTGTTACCTGGCTGGGGAGACCCAGGACTAAGCCGTGGCCTGTTCAGCTTCCTCCTCTGTACAATGGGGTGATGGTGGCCTCAAGGCTGAGGTGAGGACATGCGGTTTGAAGGCAGTAAAGGGCTCAGCACCTGCCAGGTACATAGTAGGTGCTAGTAAGTGTTGGCTGCACCTACCCTGCTGATTAAGCTGGAGCTGTCTAGAGTCCCAAAGCCAAAGTGGCAGCTTCCCGTGTCCCTCTCTCCCAGGGAGTTTGGCATGTCGTCCCCTCTCCAGGCCAGGGTAATCCCAGAGAAGGACTGATCACAAGAGGAGTTTATTACAAGAGACACGGCAGGGCTGTCAGAACTTCAGGGCGGAGGGGAGGGGCAGAAGAATAAAGCTAGGGGGGCAGAGCTGTGGGACCTGGAGAGGTCAGCGGGAGGTTGGGTGGCGTTAGACGGAGCAAGAGACGATGGCTGCTGGGAGTAGGCAGTGGTCCATGCTGCTTTCCGTCCCTCAGGGGCCTCCCCTTGGGCCTATCAGATGTCCCAGGAGGAGCTCGGAGGAAAGCGCCAAGCATTCTCTCTAGAAACCCGGGAGGAAAATGCATCCCTTCGACTGGGTTTACAGAGGATCAGAGTGGGGGACCCCTGTACCCCCCAAGATAATGAGGGGGCTGGGAATAAGCTGAGAAAAGACCTTGGGTAGGAATCCTGGCCCAGGTGCCCTGGCCAGTCTTCCTCAGCTTGCCTCTGAGCCTCAGTTTCTCCACCTGAGGCACACCTGCGTTCCCTGACGGCTCCATGGGCTTTCAGGAGCGCGCGGCAGGCACGGTGAGCTGGCAGCACTCACTTCCCCCACCTCTGGCTCAGGCCACCTGAGTAGGTCGCGGGGTGGGGTTGGGAGGCTGGGGCGTCGGGAGGGTAGGGCCGGGCCGTGGGCTGAGGGGGATGCGGCTCTGTTGCTACGAGCGGTCTTAGCAACCCACCCATTCAGCAGAGACAAAGGCGTTGTCACTTGAACGCGGAGGCGCTGCTGCCGCTTTCTTGTTCCCCCAGACGCGCTGCGCCTACGTGGGTGGGAGGTTGTGGGGGGTTGGGGGAGAGGGCTGGGCGCGGGGCTGGAGAAGGGGGAGCGGAGGGGCAGCTCAGGCCCTCTGGGAACGCACCTGGCGTGCTCGGCGCCTGCGCCCTCCCAACAGGCCTGCAGGGGGCGCCTCCAGCCCATTTTGCAGAAGGGTCAGCTGAGACTCTAAGGGACTGAGACACCAGCCAGGCAGGGATGGAGGCCAGCTGGGAGCTTGGGGTCACACAGACCTGGGTTCAAACGTACCAACACTTATACCCATGTGACTACCGCTGCGCGTCAGTGGGGGTGGGACCTGACCCCATTCTACCACTGACCCTGGCTAGTCCTGGCTCCTTTCTGTGTCTCAGCTTCCTCATCCATGCAATGGGAGGATGAAAGCACCCCCATTTCCTCGGGTGGCCTGATTAAAGGAGCCAGCAGACGCCTGGTGTTTAGTGCAAAGCCCAGCCTCAGTAAGAGCTCCATAAATGGGCCTCTTTCCCTGGCTGGAAAGAATCACAGGGATTGAGGCTAGACAGTCCTGAGCCCACCCCTCATAGAGTTGCCTCTGGTTTAAGACTGTGGGAACTCAGGCTCAGGGAGGCTGACAGTGGCCAGGGTCCCCAAGACTCCCCTTGGGCCAGCCTGAGCTCCCCAGGCTCAGTCCTCTACTTGAGCAGGGCCTGGGGAGGCCCCGCTTTGTCCCGCTGCCCACAGGCCTCCTCTATCATTCCCCCGTCACCTGTCCAGCTGGGAAACTGAGGCCTTGGTGGAGAGCGCTTGTTCCTCACAGCGTTTGGAAGGCCTCTCAGAGCCAAGGCATCAGGATGAGGGCACTGAGAGTGGGGTGAGGCCAGGAGGCTGGGCTTGGGGAGCCAGAGGGAGTGGGTACACAGAGGAAGGCGGTCTCTGGTCAGGCAGGCGTTTTGCTCACTGCTCCTCCTGGCAGCACTGGCACTGGGAAGGGGACCCAAACTTATTCCCTACGTAACCCTCTCCCAGGG